TTTAAACTAAGGCAGGTGTTCGCCAGGCCGGGCGAACGAAAGCGATCGCCAGGCGCTAACATCTTGGATTCCTGATAAATCTAGCGCTTCGGCGAATGAAAAAAAAAAAAAAAACGCGAGAAAAAGCAAAAGGTTTTAAAAGTACGGGTCATAAAGTTAACCTTGTTATAGTATAAAGTGCAGTATAGCATAAACTATAAAGTTAATTTTGTTATAGTATAAAGATATTTTCAACTTCTTTGTTATAGCATAAAGTTAAATTTTAACTCCTTTGTTATAATATAAAGTGAGACTATTGCGGAAACAACATTTTCGTCTTCTCTCGAGGTTAATAATTAAGTTTAGGTTATGTTATGTGCACTGCAGATGTAAACAAATTTGCGCTAGATTTAGCGGGAATGCAAGATGTTAGCGCCTGGCGAACGTTGGTTTTAAAAGTAAGGCCTCCCTTACTCAGAGGTTCGCCTGGCGAAGCTTCCCCAGGTGAACGCCAGCACTGGCGAAGGTTTTAAAAGTACGGGCCATAGAGTTGTGGCATCCATAACTAAACGGATTCTAATCTCAGGAAAGGAAAAAATGGCATAGATTTAGAAAGGGAGGGGGAGGGGGGGCGACCACCGTCCACTCTAGAATGGAGTGGGCGGGACTCAACTCCCCCCCCCAGTAAATAAACATACAGTGCAATTCCTGTTACACAGTTGCTGAGAATACAGTACCCCTGCGACTGAAAGGGCAGCCACAACAGACTTTGGTGATAAAATAGAATAGACATTTAGTATTGTTTGAATAAAAGTGTCTGACATATTAGTGCAGAAAATAATGTTTATCTCTTTAAACTGGGGGAAGAGGGTGCGAAGCCACTTCAAAATACCTTCCTACAGCTATGCCAGGGATAGAGGCTGTAGATTTCGATATAAAGCTAGAAAAATATTTGTGGTTAAAATCTAAACATAGCTAAAGTATTGTGTCAGGTGATTAGAATAAAAAAAGTACAGATACCAGGAGTCAGATATTTCTTCTTGGGGAAAGCGCTTCATTCATTCAGTGGTGAAGCGGAGAAACCTGGAGAATATAAAAAGAATTTTTTTTTTTTTTCAAGCTGAACGTGTTTTTTTTCCTTCTTTTTGCTTTTTAAAAGGGATTTGCTCTGAGGGCGAAAGTTTGAAATTCACTGAAGTTTTACCATTAAAGCCAAGAGTAGCACAAGCTTTGAAATGATAAAAGGGTGATAAAGGGTGTCACGGAATGAAATTTTTTGACGAAAAAAACAAACAAAAAAACTTGCCGCCCAAAGATGGGTTCCATTTTATATAGAACTATATCCTTATGAAAGTAGAGAACATAAGAGAATAACGTTGATGAATGTCATTAGAACAGACATAGGAAGGCAGCAACAGAGAGAAAGACAGACAGCGATAGAATGAGAGAAAAGGTGAAAGAAAGACAGATAGGGGAGGAGGGAGAAAGAGAGAGAGAGAGAGGAAAGGAGAGAAAATGCTCATTTTCAAAATTTACCAGATCTTGTGGCCACCAACACTGATGCGCGTGTGTATGTATCTTATTATTGTTACACTGTAATAATAATTGTGTCATTATCATATTATAGTGTTTGAATCATCGTGTAGTGTTATAATATAATAATCATCATATCATTGCGTGTATTTTATAATGTGTATGTGCGCTGTGTGCGCGGGTCCACTCTATCAAAAAATCAAGAAGAAAGTGCACAGATAATACAGAAGAATACGAACCAAACAAAGAAAATCAAGCGAGCTAAAGATAATGAAAATAAATCAATACATAAATAAATCAGACGCATAAAATTAAAATTAAGATTACAGTTCCAGCGCAAGGTCATTAACGAAAAAACTCTACAGCCTCACAATTTCATTCGCAGTGAATAATCACACTTAATAATCTTTCCTTTAACAACCGAGATCCACGATGACGTCATCACCTTCCACTTCCGTAGAGGAACAAAGAACGGGGAACGAGGAAGAATAGAACAAGGGAATAAATCCTAACTCGATTTATAATGCACATGTAGTGACTGATATTTATGATATCCGTATGTTTATTACCCTTGGTAAGTCGGCTTGCTGGTGAGAAAGGTCACGCCTTTACAAATGTATATATGTATACGCTGTTCATCGCTTGCAAACAAACATGTTTTTCATCCATTTTATGGTCTAGCAATAAACGTCCTTATATCGTCTTCATAAAAGCATGACTGTCATACCGTACAGCCTCTTTGCATATAACACACTAAAGAGAGAGAGAGAGAGAGAGATAGAGAGAGAGAGAGAGAGAGAGAGAGAGAGAGAGAGAGAGAGAGAGAGAGAGAGAGAGAGAGAGAGAGAGAGAGAGAGAAGAGAGAAGAGAGAGAGAGAGGAGAGAAGAGAGAGAGAGAGAGAGAGAGAGAGAGAGAGAGAGAGAGAGAGAGAGAGAGAGAGAGAGAGAGAGAGAGAGAGAGAGAGAGAGAGAGAGAGAGAGAGAGAGA